CTTCGTAGTACAGGCGAGTAAAAATTCACGCATTATTTCTTCAGGTATTAAAGTAGCAAAAAACTGTTTAGTTTGAGGTCTAATGCTAGCTCTGAATAAGGTATTTTTAGATATACGATAAAGCATGACTTAAGCTACTATAGAAAAATAATAAAAGTCACACACATCCCATGCAGTTTTTTCCAGAAGCAAGTTTCTAAGACTTATAGAAAAGTACTATTGACCAATACTAAATACAACCTCTACATAAAACAGCAGTTACTATAATAAGCACCACCCACATTAATATTGTAAAATCCAGAGAACAACGTTTTGTCACGTACTTTGCTTATCATCCTATGATTTGTCAAACGTGAAATACAGCCATTGGAATAACATGGTACTGAAATTGATACCTTCGACTAGGATTGGCTAAAAGTTTTACAACTGAGGTTTAACACGCCCAGACGTTGTTTTATAAAGAAAACAGACAAGAAAAAGATTTACCTACCAATCATAGATGGCAGGACCAGCGTTGAAGTGGAAGGAAATTTTTTTTTAAATTTTGAAAAAATTTACTTCTTATAGGGCGTTTAAACGTCTCAAACGTATTTTGGGATTTTTTAAAATTAAATTTCTATTTAAACTTCATTAAATAATACAATTTTGTACAAATAATAAATCCAATAAAAGATAGGTTCTCTATAATTTTTTCAATTCACAAATGTGATTTTGCCCTCACGGTGAGACAAAATGGCCACGGCATGTAACGGGTTAAAGTAGCAAAAAACTGTTTAGTTTGAGGTCTAATGCTAGCTCTGAATAAGGGATGCTTGGTTCTGTTAAGTTTATTTTTCTTTGGTTCAGATATTGATAAATCTGACACATACACGTGAATTATTTAATTATTATTTTTGTCAAACTGTCTATGGGAAATGATTCAAGGAAGGGAAAAAATTCATACCATACTTTAACACTGCCCAAATCACAGTTTCTGTGATAAAAAAGTGTGGAAAGTGACAATTCCATGTGGCATTCATAATAGAAAAATTATGCAGATAACTTATTCCTTTCTGGGGGATTAAAAAAAAAACTTTCAAATTTTAGTTGCCTGTTCTGTCTCTCTTGTTTCTGAGCAGTACACGTTTCTATTGGTTTCGGTAGGTGAGTGTTTTAGTTTTAAAATGTTTTTAGGAGAGTTTATGTAGTATTGTTATGTCAGTATTTATTATTTTAAGTGTAGATTATTTCTACCTCTTTTCAATCAAAATGTAATACTTAAAATTTTGAATTTGAGGTTATTGTGGTGATTAAATGATGCTTATATGATTGTTCTATATATTCCCAGTCTGGAATACCACCGTATATCCAGAACATACATACTACAACATCTTACCTGGTTACATCACTACCAATGTAGCTTGCCTAGATTTTGTGAAAAACTCGGTGACAATACAATAAGATTTGTTTTCAACAACAGTTATTTTAAATTAAATTCAGTTCTCTATAACCAAAGGTATAGCTATGAGAAACAATATTGCTGTCGTTTTGGCCTCTATTCTTATGCATTTCTTTGAATCATCAGCTTTTACTTAGTAGAATTTTTGACATTTTTGGTATATGGAATTATGGATTTCCTTCTGTTTTGAAGTTCTTTGAGCCCTTAATAATCAACACTCCGGCATAAAGCTCATACTTATTGGAACTGATGATATCCGGAAGTCTATATCCTTTATTGGTGCCATAGTTGCTATTGAAAACAGCAAACTTATTACTACCGTATATTCTAAACAATGTGTTAAATCCATTATTCTACACTATAATTCACACCGTCCACCAGTTACCATTATCAGTCAACTTAACAGAATTGAAAAATCTGCAACACCATGGATGGTAAGACGTAAGCCAGGATGAAACTTCGACAGTTTTTGGTCCAATGGCTATCCATATAGTTACATTACTAAGACCTTCCATAATTTTGACTCACAAGATTTTAACAAACGATAGCAAAAAAAGAAACCACCACATCAAAACACTGTCTTATGGATTATGCCATTGCGGATGAACCTTTAATTACTCCTCTTCGTCAAGCGATTAGAAGATCTATTTGAATATCCACATCATACAAAAACCCTGTAAAAACTTATGAATATACTTACTCTTTCAGCCTTCAATAACAACAATCTATGCAAATCCAAAAAAATGCACAAATCAATGGCTTAGAAAAATTCTGCACACTTAAAGAACAGCCTCTATTATACGAAAAGTACGCAGTATTCAGCCACATGTGCAGGTGAATACATTCGTCCAATACATAATCGTTTAAAAAAAACATATTTGTGCCATTGCAAATCTTGACAAAAAAAAAAGAGAAGCCACTGCTGAAAATTACATCAACGCACACTGCATAATTAGCGAGACACCTTATAGAATCAAAATTTTAGAGATTTATGACAACTTTTTTGACAGGACATTTAAGGAACCTATTTTGATTCAATCCAAATGCCTTCCCATTAACTGATACAATGCCTGGAATCTATAAAACTATTATTATTTCATGTAAGGTTTATTCTTTTTTTTTATGATCAGCCACTTAAACCTGGCTTAACAATACTTTTCGCACACTTCCCCGTGCACTTTTATATCATATTGTTTTAGTTTCATATTATTTTCAGTTATTATAATTAAAAACAAGTTTTGTAAACTGGGAAGTTCAAAAACCCCTGAAAAAGGCGTAAGCCGAAACGTCGGATAGAAAAAAAAATATTTATCTGAACTTGTTTGGCGTCTTAATTGAGAATAAGAAACAATTGATGTCGTCAATATTTCAGTATTACAATAACCACCACCATTAATCCAACATTTTAATTAATAAGATAATCAAAAACATTTCTGGAAGGGCCTCTATCATCATAAAGGTGATATGCTTTTCTATAATTATGTTTAATGTACAACTTAGATGGCTAGTGAATATACGTTGATCCAATAAAAGAAAGAAATTTATAAATACAAGGTGATAATCTCCCAGTGGCTTAGTAGCAAGTATGTGAACTTATAACGTTATATATTGGGTTTTGATACCTGCGGTCGGCACGACACAGGTAGCCTATTTGGTATTCACCACTGCAAAGCTATCCTGCATAGTACAGTTAGAACCCACTAGGCGGAGATTCGAAGGATACCAAGTGTGTCTGTTTATCTCTGAAATCACTAACTGAGTCCGTCAGGAAGAAAGAATCGAGTCCTGGAAGGCAGTGGGTGCAGAGGTTCTATGATGCCCGGGACTTGTACCTAAGACCTTGGGGAAGGGCGAAAAGGGTTCTACTATTCGATTCGACTCTTTGCGTTGGATGCCCGGGGCCCCGGCACCTTTCGCCCCTCCCCCCTTCTGCACGCTACTGCTGGGAGGTGCACAGAAAATAAACGTTATTGTCATAATACAATCACAAATAAAACAACCAAACAACGGCAAGTGTGAAAAAAGTAAAACCTTAGTGAGCTCTCTCTCACCAATCAAGTGTGTGTGTAACCCCCTTCCCCCCAGTAAAGTAAACTACAACATTATAACCTAAGTTGTGCAATTTGACTAATTTTTTTAGAGCCATATTGCATACTTAGTTCTGCTCTTGATGAAAGGCCGACAGATCTGGTGAAAGTCTACAAGTAGAAGTGAACTCTCAGTCCATAACGGGCTTTCTTTTTGAACCTCTCGTAATGCACTTTAAATGTCTTACTTTAAACATTTTGCGGATTATTTTAAGGAGACTGCATTCATCTGTCTTTTTTCTCTTGAAAACATGCATAAATTAACAAAATATTTGCGTGAATTTTCAATAGCATTCATTCTCAAGAAAACTGTTGTAATACAGGGGAAGTGGATCAGAAGTGAGGAGGTGTAGAAGTCGATTCGAGAAACTTAGCAGAAATGGAAAAGCAGTTGTGTCACTTCTTTTCAACGCATCCTCTTCAAAGTAGAGATGTGGTAAAGATTTTTACTGTTTTAATTTGGTACATTTAATGCATTAAATTTAATAATAATCTCGAATTTTGCTTCTACTGAAAACTATATTCTACATCAATAGGTGAGAAACAGTCCCTCAGTGGCACAACAGTATATCTGCAGACTTACAACGCTAGAAACCGAGTTTCGATACCCGTGATGGGCAGAGCACAGATAACCGATTATGTAAATTTGTGCTTAATTCATTACAAACAAACAAGTAAGAAATATCCTAAAATTAATTTTATTATGAAATACTTCTCTAATTCAGGCTTAAGCACTTATTCTAACCCTAGTATAAACCAGAAGTTAAATGGTGTAAATGTAAAAAAAGAGCAGGAAACTTAAACAGCAGAAACATCTTTATTCTCCACATTGTATCTGGATATTTTATTGCTTTATATTTTAATTATTGTGGGAAACAAGCCAATATGTTGAACATTTTATTTATAATCTTTGACTTGTAGAATTTTGTTGTGGTGTGAGTGTTGTTCAGACTCAACTATTTACAATAGCTACTGCAGTGACGATATAGGGGTTATTCTATAAAATATTTTTAATTTTCAATATATGGGAAAGTTTTCTGCCGAGTTTGGTTTGGATCGATCAACTCGTTAAAGAGGAGATGCGTTTACAGACAGACAGAAAGTTTTCCTTGATATTGGATAGTTACCTCACCGGTATGGTTTAATATGTATAGCGTATATGTAAAGAAAGCCTGTACACCAGTTTTTATACTTAGGTCTGCCGAATGAACGGAGGTAGAGCTGTACAAAACTAAATCGCAAAGTAATACAAAATAAAGTTAGAACACAGCCTAACAAAAAGTTAAATCAACTTACCAAAGTTCAAAAAGTGCTGTCCAATCTCAGATAAATTTAAAGTCTAAATCTCAGCTACAATCTATCTAGCAAGAGAGAACCTGGCCTTTAATACTAGAAAATACAATAACAAGCTGAGCCAATTCTTCACACTGGTACGCTGTTCTGCACGTGACCTTCGTGTAAGACTAGAGGGAAGACAGCTAGTCATCAAATTTATCCCAACCTCTTAACTAAAACATATTAGGAAATAGTAATAAGATCGATTATATTGCAGAACAAATATAAAAATAACCAAACTCTTCCTATGTCACATGATGATCTCAAGCATTTTCTCAGAACTTTGATTTTCTGTGGATTCCGTTTTGTAACACCAGAAAGAGATTACTGGAGTAACCAACCTGATTTGAAAATTTATTTTGTTTCAAAACTAATGAGCAGGAACAAGTTTTTGAACATAAGGCAGTACTTTCACAGAGTTGATAACCAGAACTTGCAAAAAAGAAACAAGGTACTCAAAGTGTCATTTATCTACCGGATATTCAGTGAAAATATTGTTGTTCAATGGGGAATATTTCATGTTAGGTGCTGCAGAAGAATAACCTTCACCTAAACATGAGGTATACTTTAACAACTTCTTTACAAACACCAAACTTGTAAAATCTCTCGTTCACAAGGGGCATAAATCAATTAGAACTATTCGTGAAAATAGAGCAGAAGAATGAACAAAGGCCATAATCTCTAACAAGGAACTAAAGAAGAAAGATCGTGGCAGTTTTGACTTTTGTTGCAACTGGAAGCCTTGTGTGTGTTTGTCGAATGACCATTCCATTGTAAGCATTACTAGTAATTCATTCACGTAAGAACTGATTCGTACTGCACACAGACGAGTTAGAGGAAGAAGCAGATCTCATCTGATTCATCTTTATAACAAGGGAATGGGGGGGGGGGTAGATTTGATGGTCTGCCTTTTAACTACATGTAGACTAATGGTGGTGGCCACTGGGGAAAAATTATTTGAAGTGGCAATACGAAGATCTTATTATAATTTGCATTAAAAAAAACAGAAATTGGACCAACTTGAATTTTGATTAAATATTGCTTTAGCTCTAATTAAGTCTTCAAGCGACAGAAAACAAGCTGCTGGCCATGAGCCAATATCTTGAATTTAAGGCAGATCTTTAGTATGTCAGAAAAACACGAGGTTTATGTGTGAAAAATGGGAACTACGTCTTCAAAATTTATCATCCAGAAGAATAACCACAAACTCAGCATTTGCAACTAATATTGAAAAAGAATTAATTCCTAAGGCCTGTATTTTCTTACAAGTATCCAGTTTTTACTTTTAATATAATGTTTTTTTTTTTATAAAATATAAATAATGAAATAAAAGTGTCGATTTTTATTCCATGACTTCGGTAACCCTTATGACCTGTTATTCTAACCTTCCCATAAAGAAACATCCATTGTTACCTCAAAAGAAAAAAACAACAAACAAAAACGAAGTTTCACTCAAGACTGAAAAACGTATTCTGAGGTAATATCTTCTCTGAATGTAAAAACAAACAAAAACGTCCTTTTTGGTTCAGTCGGGAAAAAGGTTTTAAGCTGGTCATTCCACTGAACAAATTTTAGTTATTGCCCCCTCAAACAACAATAAACGGATCGGAATCATATATAAGCGAGGTCTTTTTGGTATTAAAGAACAGTTCAGCTTTTGTAAATTAAAAACATTTTTTGTCTAAATTATTTTAAGTTGTTGAAATTACCAGATTTTATCTATTCTTAATCAAATTTTTTCCATTGTTTTAGTAATTACCTCGTCATTTTTTTTTTGATTTTGTAATATTGTTTAAATCAAGTATATAAAAACTCGCTTATCTTCCACCCAGAATGTCCTAAAGCGGCGTCGCCATATTCGCGGGATGTAGCAACTTGAAAAAAAAAAAAAAGTTTTCAGGAATGTTAGGTAACTAGTCTTTGGGCCACTTTTAACTGTTCGTTTTTAACAATAAAAATACATTAGTGTGGTTCATTATAGTGCACAGTGTTCTGTTATTGACTAAATTAAAGCTTTTGTCTCATACACTGACACATCGTTACTTATTGGTGTGCGGACTTAACTTTTTCTAATTATTTAGGCTATATCAACATTAGCGGTTTAGTGATCACAATGTAACCTGGTTGCTGGTTCGAAACTAAGTGTGCCTTTAGAATTTCCGTATGGATTTGTCGCTAATTATGGCGCGTGGATGAACTAGTGCTGAGGCTTCAGTAGTTTTATTTATCTCTGGAAGTTTTTTTTTTTTTTTTTTACAGTCTGGGAAAAAAACCAGCACTTCCTAAAAACGTCATCAAAAAAATAAAACTATTTTTAAGGTGAATTTGTGTGTAGTTTAGCACAAAGCTAAACAATGGACTATCTATGATGCGACTATCACGCGCATCGAAATTCGTTTTTTTTTTAGCGTTATAAGCTTACAGACATATCTTTGAGCCACTAGAGGACATTAAGGTGAATTATATCTAAACATAACTTCATTTAATTACCTTTGAAAATTTCCGTTAGTACAATTTGATACACACACACACACACACTTAGATGTCATTCCAATTTATTTACTTCTTATTTTTGAAGTGCAGTGTTATTAATTTATACATAAACATGTAAATTTTAAAAAAAGTGTCATATGCCAGGCAATTTCATACTTTTGAATATGTATCGTAAAAACGTCTCCCACATTTCAATGAAAATATAAGATCTGTTGTAAATGCTTTGTAAGGTTTTTTGTAAAATAGAACGTTTTCATTCAATCACTAATGCAACCTAACAAAACTAATACCAACAATTTATTTTCATTCAGGAACCTACAAAAATGACTACTAACACATACACAAACCACTATACATACAAATTCATAGTTACACAACAGCCTAGAAAAACAGCTGATCGTGATGTTTGAAACAGTAAAACCATTTATCCTGTCACTATAAAATCCCCAAGGCATTAAACTTAAGCTATTTTTGTTTTGCAGATAAAAACTATTGTGAGATTATTTAAGAATATTTGTGTTGCTGTATATCAATTATTTTATTGCTAGTAGAGAATTTCCATTTTTCACATTTTGCAGTTCTTTTCAAAATGAAACATTTTACTCTCGTCTTTTAGATTTCGCGCGAAACCACTCGAAGCTTATCTACGCTAGCTGCCCCTAATTTTAAAGTGGGGAGGCAGCTAGTCAACATCACCCACTGCCAACTCTTGGGCTACTCTTTCACCAATGAAATTTTGGATTGACCGTTACATTATACTGCCCCCTTCGGCTGAAAGGGCGAGCATATTCGGTGACGTGATTCGAATCTTGTGACCCTCAAATAGCGAATCGAGTGATCTAGAAACAAGGCCATGCGAGACTTAACTGTTTTGTCAAATAGAAAAGTACTCAAGGTAGTACAGGATAAGGACAGTATGCTATATTTCAGAAAAAAACAAGGTTACCAATGAAAATCAAATCTGGCATTGAAAGTCATTTAATTAAAAAATTAGCAAAAATTGATCAATAACTATAGCTTCGAAAGCGGTTATTGGTGAAAGAGGTTCCAAATGGCGTTTTTTTTTTATATTGGCTTTCTTCACTCTATAAATGACATGAATTTGTAAAACTACTGTAAGGAAAGTTTTACTTTCTCAAAAGTTAACTACGTAAAAAAACAGTTAATCTCAAAAGTCTGTTTTTACAACTGCAGCACAATGACACTTTGTTGGTTCTAACTATAATTTACGCCAAAATGTGTTCTCCAGGATGTTATAAAAGCACATTTTCTAAAATTAAATCTTTAATATGTTTAGAATTACATTCTTAGAACAACTACTTTGGTAATTTTACCACACAGGTTAAATAAAATGAAATCCTAGCAATCATACAGTCATTGGTTCTCTATAAAATACACAAAAAACATTGTCTTTGCAATTTTTACAATACTAAGAAATATAATGTGACAATTACAAAATCTGAAAAATATACAAAATGAGCATTCTTCCCATTACAAAATTGGAAAGTTTGGTGACAAAATTAGTATTAATTTCAATAACAGTAATATAGAAAAGTCAGAAGCCTTTGTACTACAAGATAAAGTCCAGATAAGGATTATGATTGATACTAATATATGCAATGAATAAACTTTCTACAAAAATTTCAAAGAATAGGAGCCTTTTGTCATTGAAACCAATGAGATTTCGCTATTTACAATACAAATAAAACTTAATTATAAAATTGGTAATTTTGCAAAGCTTTCAAAGAAATGTGAAGTCATGCATTCTGTGATATACACCCAAATTTTAATCATTTCTTATGCTAACCTTAAAATATTTTGCTAATAAAGGTGATTGAATACAGAAGTTTCTCGTTGAACAATCTTTTAATGGTTTATATAAAGCAAATTTCAGTAGGATAACCTTTTGCCAACATTTCTTCAGTAGATAAAAAATATAATTTTAACTAGCTGAATTTATTGGTTTTAAGCTTTTTATAGTTGCTTAGCACAAATACTACTGCAACAACCTAAAATATACAGATATAGTAGGAAGTACCTTACTTATATACATAACATGGTATAAGCAACCATCTAGGTACAGTAAATGTGTGTTGCATTATATTACATACTTCTGATCATTATTAGTTATTACTACATTATTACAAATACATGACAACTCTGTTACATTGAAAGAGATTTTAAGTGCTCAGATATGAATTGAATATGTTTTTACTGCACTGACAATATTTGATAATTAAATGGACTAAGATAGGAAAGTGGTGGAATACTTATATCTTTCAGTAGAAATTACTAAAGCTAGACAATTAATGGTATTTGCCAATTAAGTTACTTGAATAATTATTACATTCACCCTTAAACCCATACACACAAAAATAAAATAACTTTTTCAACCAACATAATATTCTAACATGGTATAAATCTTTCTATTTTCATTCACATTGCTTTGGGTTTTCTTAAGTAATTTTCAAATTACTCTTGAGTTCCTATAATAGACCTCATTTGATGGCCGCTATTTGCACATTTTATAAAAAACTTTTGTCTAAAAACTATTTTACCACAAGTTTCATAGGCTTTTCCTACTTGGAGAATGAATTGTTAATGTTGAATACACACACGGTCATGCAACCACTATTATGTTTCTTTTTAAAATATCCAGTATTCTGCATATTTTTCAACAATATGAGTAATAATTTCTTTTTACTTAAAACATGATTGCAATTACACACAGTTAGGTTGTCAGTTAGCCAATTTATATATGTACATTCAATAAAGAATTAAGTCAAAATATTTTGCAAATGCCTACTGTACTCACTAAACTTATTTGATATGATGAAGATTATATTTTATTTGGTGAACATAATAAAAAAACCTTGTTTACAAACATTGCAACTAAAAACCATAGTATATCTATTAAAAGTAAAAGCACTAATTTTAAACAAAGACCCAAACATCAACAAGACATCTTTATTAAGTCTTATGCAATCTACAGTCATGTGACTTTGTTTCATACTGTACAAATATTCCAGTGTTTATGTAAACTACTTGTAACTGATGATGACAAAACCTTCTCCAAGTACTGTAAGTTTCTTGCTGTGTTAAACTCAATGTTATAATTAAGAAAATAACAGTTAAAGACAAATATTTCAAATTTTTTATTTTAAATAGTTATAATTATATTTAGAAAAAGTATAGCTTACACCTAATTTCATATTTTAACATTCATTAACATAATGCCAGTTTTAAAATTTTTTAACAATCATCACTTACACAGTCATAGCACTTGCATTTTTGCTTATTTTGGACACTAACAATAAAACATACTTCTTACAAGTATTCTAACTTTCAAACAATGAGAAATTGATTCTGTAACAAGTCTATGTTATAAAAGCTGCAGATGTCCTACACATTATTGACCTTTGATGAAATAAATCTCTCAAGTCTAAACACATCGCAAGTGTGTGTGTAAAAAAAACCAGCAATGTTGAACCCTATGTGCACAGGTGGGGGTACAAGTGCACATTTCATAACATTTTACAGATTGCAATTCAACATGGTATTTGATGTTAGAGTTAACTGTTCATTTGATTCTACATTGATTTATCAACAGTCTGTGGTAGAGGATAGTAAATACCAGATACAGTATATAGGGACACTGAAAAAAACTGTAGAAGTGCATTTTGGAGATTCAAGAAGTTATACAAATGCAATTTGCAAACTTGTATGATGAGAAAAATGTATTCATATTTAGCACATGAACTTCACCTTGCAGTCAAACTTCTCAGAGTCTGAGTCAGACTAACATAATCAATTTATAGAAATATCTTGAATACAACGGTTTTTGGATTTTGTAAAACATCCGATTTTTTGTATACAGCAGACATTTTACTAAAAGCTTTCCATATTTTGTGAAGATATGTTTAGTAATTTTGGAATTATAGTGAACATTATTTGCCCAATGCAGGTTAGGTCTGTTGGACCAAGCCGTGCATGTTGCATGAATTGATGTTTGTATTTGTTTAGAAATAATCAGTTACTAGTTCAGGCCATGAATGGATTGCTGTATACCTCAGTTTTGTTGACTTCAGAAAATCTTTAGTTAATTTCAGAAAAACAAATGAAATGGTTTCCTAGTTTGGATCCTGCCAGTTCTGTCACTTCTTGTATAACAATAAATAATTCAGTTATTAATTTTTTTTAAAAAAAGGTAGGTGGGAATTTTACCCCCCCTGGTCCTAATCACTAGATCCATGCCACCCCACCATAGATCTGTGGCTGCTTATACAACATTAAAGAATAAAATTACTAATTCCTTGAACAAAAATGGATGATGAGTCTGGATCTCATAGACTCTTCTGTCAGATCTGCACTTGCTTATATGACATTAAAGAATACAGTTATAAAATTATAAATTGGATACAATGTAAAAAAACCAGTAAATATACACTCCATTTAACACTTACTAGCCAGAGAATTGGCAATGAGTGCTATCAGTCAGATGCCTTCCTTCTAGTCAGAAGTCCAACGTTATTGACAAAGATTGGACAAGCAAGTTTAGTGGCAGTGGAAATCACTCGAATCATGAGGTATTTTCTAACCTGCTAATTACATAGTTTTCTGCTTAACCACAAACAAACATAATGCACACTATTTAAACTACTTAGGTAGTTGGAATAATCAAAAACAGTATATATTTAAAAGCTTTAAATCTGATTATATGATCATTTTCATAGCAAATTATTTAATCATAATTTAAATTAATCATTGTTGGAATAATCAGAAACACTAATTTCAATTAGCTGATTATTTTCATGACATTAATCAATTAAGTTATGAGACAGTAATTGACAATATCGGAACATAGATAATCAATAATGTTAATTAACTGACTAAGTCACCCAGATATAGCAGTTACTAGTGAAAGAACTTTAGTGCCACCATAATAAGTAACACAAAATTAGAGGCAAACAAGTATTTGTTTTTCACGATTGAGAAAAAAAAGAGAAAAAAGATGGACTAGATCAAATACTAAGTAAATATACTTACTATTTGCCAAACAAGATATAATTCATTAATTTATTTTAAACAGTTAATAAGTGATGAATATGTTTGAGGAGGGATAAGTAATATTATAATTAAACACTGTTAATATAAAAATGCTTTGATTAAAGTAAAATATCCAGGAATTATCTTTAATTAGTTCAGCTGGGAAAAAAAAACAGAATTTTCATTTTGAATGATAAATTTAAATTTTTATCATAAAAAAATCCTCTTTTTACCAAATTATTTTTCAACTAGACTAGTATAGTTAAATCTAACTTATGTTATAAAGCAGCAAATTTGTTTTAAAATGTTTTTCTACCTTATATTTTACTACTGTCATTCATAATGCTACTCTGGTCAAGAAAAATTAAATAATAAAGTACATATTTGTGGGAAAGATGTCTTCATTCAAGGATACATAGAATGGGGAAAGCATACTGATGACATTTTATATTCTATTTGCAAAGCATAACATGATGAGTAAAATTTCAAATTAAGAAAACATGAGAGCACTGTTACTGAATGTCTTCACTCAGTTATAGTAAGGTACAATGAACATACTGAAATGTTTTATAAAAGACATACTACTAGAGTGAAAAGTAAATTTTGGCACTGAAATTACCTACAGAAATATGTCCAAAATTTCAAGGTAGAATAAAAATAAAAGTTGGATATTACTTTACAGCATTAAAATAACTAATTTATATCTAGGTTATATACGTCTAGTGATGATCCTTGTTTTGTTCTGGTTGTTAGATTTATATTATGGTTCAAGGAAAATACAGACAGTTTTGTATTGTTTTCTTCTGTATATTTTAAGTTACAGCCAATTTAATGACATTTAATGTCACTGGAAAAGAAAAAAAAATGCTGCTATAAATTTGTTAAAAAAAATATGTATAAGGCCATTTCATCGTCAGATATATTTGAAATGACTGTCATGTTATAAAACTAGTTGTACAAAAATTTTGTGACATCTCTCATACTGTGTTCCTTTATGGAGACATACAATTGCTGCTTTTTTAAAATATATACATCTTAGTTGTGCATATGTATGGAGGTCCAAACAAAAACCAACATACACGTTCTATCAGCATCGGCTATCTCATAAGCCAGCTCAAACATATATAAAAACAAAGAAAGATGTAAGTTGTTTAAGGTATTTGACCACAACAAAAATTCTAAACCCATATATACTTTATATGATAGAGCATACAGTACTCTAAATTCACTACTCCACATTTATACAAACTAAGCTGTTTTTAAAAAAAATTTTGCTTTAGTTAAGAGATGTGTTTTACTGTAATTTTCTACTTGTTATTCTTAAACCTTAACAAGCTAAGTAAAATGTCAAAGAGCTTTAAGAAATTACAAGTATAAAAAACTTTACATCCTCACTTATACGTGTAAAACAAATATTCAAACCTAGAGGAAAAAATACTTCAAAAATCAGAGAGACAGATGGAAAGTTTTAGATAGTTTAATGTTTATAGTAACAATAAATTATCATTTATAACAGAATCTCAACTGTAACCAATATTAACAAAAAAGTAGAACCACAGCACAAAGTTTTTCACTCACTACTTCAGTATTAATAATATTAAAAATATGATGAACACCATTCTGAGTGGATGTATTTACTGTAGATAATCTATCACAGATGTGCTAGTGCCACTTGGCTTTCTGGGCAAAGATATCAGCTCGAAGATTCTGTGCAAAACAAATTCCCAGTATCTAAGAATGACAAAAAATATATATATATCAATAAAGAGGTTAGATGTGTAATAAAAAAATTTCCAAGTGAGACCACTACTGAAAATTGTATCTTTAAGGAATATAATGAATTTGGAATTTAAAATGGATTATATAACCAGTGTGTTTCCAGCATACATTTTGTGAAAAATATTATGCCAGCTGAAAATACTGAAAATGTATTTTAGCTTAAATAATACTTCCAAAAATGAATACACCTAAAAGGGATTTTTTTTTACAATTTTAAAATAATTTTATATATTTACAATAGGATTTGCCAACTTATAATTATTTACAGAAAAATTCTTGAATAAAGTATTTATAAATATTTGAAACTACGCTTAACAAAATATAATTTTGAGATAAAACTGATGAATGAAACTTTGATTATGCTACAAAATGAATTAACTAAAAGATATCTTAAGAATAATTAATATTTACATTAAATTTGCATTTGAATTACTCTTAAGGCAAAATCTTGTACATTATTACAAGTTACATTTAATAACTCAAAATTCTGATAAAATTAAGTTTCTAAAATGGAGAACAGTATATATAACCACCAACTATGACCAAATGCTTAACCCTTTCCACATGGGACACAGGTCAAAGGCCATGTCATCTCGTATGTTGACTCGCATTCAAAATTTTATTGAATTACTATTTCTTAAGTTAAAAGTAAATATTAAAAAAACATGGTTAAACATAAATTTTTGTGTGTCATGTGGTATGTTGAATGCAGCACCGGTTCAAATTAGATGTTTGTGATGTCAAAATACTAAGTCTATAATTTTGTACGAATTAAGAACTCAAATTACTGATATTGACAAGCTAGAATATAAAATAAGAGCCTCTTATGTTTACAATTTGCTAGGATATTGCTCATGTAATAAATCAAACACAGTGGCACCCTGCCTACCTCTTTCCGATCTTGGAAACGCTCCCTTATATACATTTACTTCTATATATGATGTGAATAACCAGTTGAAAGCTCAGAATGTCCCCTTGTGTCTTTCTTAGCCATTTTAAAGTCCAAGGATGCCATTTATTTCTTTCAAACCAACATTTCAAAGAAGTAAGTTGTCTTTAGTCTGTTCAAAATTTCATTTCTTTAGACTGAAATACAGCTGTTACTGAGCTTGGTAAATTATAGTGGAATTCTATGGTATTGATATAGTAATTTATGGTTGTTTGGTTATCCAACTGTACATATAAAAAAAACTAAAAAAAAATTGTTTCATATCCTCCACATGCAAAATTTTAAAAAGCTTAGCAACCTACATCGAGTAGCAACCAAGTACAAAGGTCATAACTAGAAGAGACAATTGTTTGCTTCAATTATTTATTTACTTGAATGTTTAAGAAAAATAAGTTTAAGAACTTATTTCTAAATAGCAATAATCTATATACATATATAATGTATAATAATTGAAATGTGACTGTATTTTACAAAATACTAGTCTACTAAAACACAGCCAAGACATGTCACTTTGTAAATACTAAAGGTCAGTTTTATATTATTGGATACGGTACATGAGAGCATGTGCACCTCACGATTGTAATTTCAGTATTTTTAGCCAGGCATGGCTGAAAGGTCAATATAATAAATAGCTATAAATGTATAATGTTATGATATTTAAGCTAGTTAGTACAAATATTTATAATTTTGTATTATAATTTGTTGTCATTCTAGAATAAAAAAAAGCATAATTTATATTTATTTCATAATTTTTATGTTGGTTACGAGATCGGTCAAATCTACTGAACTCGTACAGAGATTCTTACTGAAAATAACAGACAAAATATAAAGTTTTTTCTTACGAAATGTTTGATAAACATCTGAACATTATAAAGATTTTGCAATGAAAATTACTTTGCATGTTGCCTATCCAAAAGAAAAAAAAAAGGCCTTTGGAAAAAAGTAAGACTTAATAAAAAAAATTTAATATTTTGCATATGAAAGCATTGTAATGTTTACTGATAACCTGTCAGATTTCATTAATATACAGTTACTAATTTAAAAGTTATAGAATGAAAACTATAGCAAGCACAGAATGGTTATGAGGTCAGTCCCAGGAACCAAGCCCATGCTGAAAGAGTTAAAGGGGAGTGGATGGCACACATGCAGTGCTGGAGAATCGAACCCATATCCGAGTCATAAATATAATAGCTTTTGTGCTCAGAAAATAAAAACACTGGTTGCTGGATGGTATCAAATTTATTGTATACCTTATTAAAGAGGTGAAATACTAAGAAGCAATTATTTTTTTGCCATGATGTACATTATATATGTTTATTTGATAGGTGCATTAGCAAACAATATGTATGCTTACTTTTGTTATTTGTACAAGTGTATTCATTCATTAATAAGCATTCAAAATAAGACTTCATTCTTCTCTTAAATGCCTCTGCATTCCATTACACATCATTTTCAAATAAATCCAGTTGAGTCAGAGCATGACACCTAGCATGAGCTATCTTTTGCAAATTCTTTACTTGTAGTTTTAAAATGCAGTAAATCCTCTAGAGTAAATAAAAATTACTGAATTTATGACTGCAAAAAACAGTTCATGTATTATAAAAATACAAATTGGTATAACTACACCATGTACTTTACATTTACAATGTATATTAGTCAATCCTGGAAAGCAATCTTTACAGTAAAATATTTCTGCAACTTTAAATGCATGTTAGTCACCTTCCAGCAATCTTTACTGCAAAAATATGTCTGGAGAGTATACTTAATAATTTTGCTTCAAATCTAATCTAATCACAGAGTCAGTAGAAGACTATATGTAGGGTTGGCCAAGGTATTCAATAGGTATAATACGAATATGTACTCTAAAAACCAACAATGACAGATAGTTTTCTTTAAAAGATGATTAACATCCCTTTCATTTGTTTCTATACCCAACAATCCAAAACCAAGGCAAGCAACTATTGAAAAGGTATCAAACCAGAAATTGTTTCAGTCGAGGTAACTCTACAACTATTTTATCACTAATGTCAGTTTGAACATAAATCCACTCTGTGTGTTTCTAAGCAGTGCATGTCATCGCTTAGTCGTAATAACTAATAATTAATTTTTAAAAATCATAATTCTATTGTAAATGATGTTATCATTACTCCTTGAAGTTAGATTTTTTTTTCTTTTACAGAAATCTGGTGTTCTTTTAAAAACCTTAAGTAAAGAATGAAACAGGAATTACCAGCCAATAATAGATGAACGTTAGATAATTAACATGTAGAATACTTAATACTTTGTACACTATACAATAAGTGTCTTTAGAGAGCCAATCCCTATATTATGTATGAAGCCAAGGAGTAAAAAAAAACAAAAAACTTCTATACACATAATATTAAGTTTCATTACTCACATTCATAGTATACACTAACTTTATGTCTGGGGAAAAAACATCACAAAACAAGTAAAAATTTTGTAAATGTAAAATGATTAAGGGATGGCAGTACCAAAAATAATGCAAACAAAAATATAGGGATGATACAGCTATACAAAGATCACCCCTACATGACTTTCAATATTACAACTTAACATTACACTGTAAAATGCATACTTGACTAATAGTAGTTGGAAGTTATTTATATTCCTGACTGTTTGTATGCAGTTTATTATAATATCATGACCATGTCAGGGTAGACATCAATGCAATGTAACTAAGAGCTTAGGACTTATGTACAAGGAACACAGAGTCAAGACATTTCTTGATTATTACATACTTTCACTATGAGGTCAGTCAATTTAACATTTAAAAAATGTTTTTATTATATGATGCTGAAATGTCAGAATGCTTACTTTTAAATTAACTATTATCATTTAATGTCACATGGATTTTAAATGTATGTATTTCATATCTGCATGTGTGTGTTTCCTGTTAAACAAACAGATGAGATTTATAAAGAAATTTATAAAAAAAACATATCAGAAGTTAACATTTTCTAACACTGAAAAATGATAATGTATTTCTGATAGGTACTTACCTCCTATCACCTAAAGCTAACTCGACCATGGTTTGCCCTCTAAGCATTGTTAAAATTTTGAACAGTGCACCAGTCTTTTATACTCCTTCATTTTTGCATCATTTCAGCAACATGTGATCATGTGACTACCCTTCATCAATCATACTGCACCACTTATACCATTGCAGCACAATCCTCACATTCAAGAATTGTCAGATACAAACCAGAAACACTGGCAAATCAGTGGAGAAGAAAGGTGGGAAATGTGTGATAGGAGGTAAGTACCTATTGGAAATACATTTCCAGTATTAGGAAATATGAACTTCTGAAAGGGTACTACCTCCTCTCACCCAAAGCTAGAATTCCACATTGGAAAGGTGGCAGGCCAGTGAAGATGCAAAAGCAATCAAACAAGCAGAGAACAACTGCCATGAAAGAACAGGTGTGCCACAATCATAAAAGGAGGCACACCCGTGGGGTATAGTAGCACTACTTCTGGAACAGGTATGCTCTTCACCCAGTAAAGAAGACAGTAAGACATATAAGGTAGAACATAATAGACAGGCACCTAGTCATGTAACACAGATTCCACTCATGGATAAAAGATAGCGCGTAAGACATCCACATATATAACAAGCATGACTATGTGACACAATGATAGTGAGATTCAAAGAAGGTGCCAGTAATCAGATATAAGAATACACGGTTAGGGCTAAAGGACTGTAAATGTATGTGAATAGGCCAAGTGTGTTATAGTGAAAGTGCCTTGCATAAGATTGTACTTTTCTTACGTTTGTAACCAGATATAAGAATACACGGTTAGGGCTAAAGGACTGTAAATGTATGTGAATAGGCCAAGTGTGTTATAGTGAAAGTGCCTTGCATAAGATTGTACTTTTCTTACGTTTGAAACGTATTTCGTGATTAACAAGTGCAGTCAGCCCAGGCAAAAACATCTGGGGGAAGCACCTTGTGATATTATGGAGTATGTCAAGTGTGGTCTA